GGGGCACAAACCTGTGTCCCCTGCATCGGCAGGCAGACTCTCAACCACTGTGCCACCAGGGAAGCCCCTATTATTCCATTTTATACGGCCAATTCATTTCTTTCTTTAGCTTCCTTTTCAGATGAATATAAACTATGTATTAAAGGCACCATACTATTTTCTCCCTAAAACCAGCAGGTCTGTCTTATGAAAATATGTGCTAGCCAAAAGTGGGATGGGAAGGTAGGGCAGAATGCTACTTGTCTCCCAGTATATATTCTCTGCATCTTCCGGATTTTTGGTTGGGCACATGGCAACCTCACAATCAAGTTTACATTTCTTAGTCTCCCTGACAGCTACGTGTGACCATATCATTAAATTCTAGCCAATAGGATGTAAGCAGAAGGATTTCAAATAACTTCTGAGAAACGTCTTTAAAGTGGTGACATTATACAATTTATCATCCGAACTGGGCCATGCGAGAGTAAAAGGGAGTGCTAAAATAATTAAAATTTTGTACTTTTTGAAACTGGTATTTATTAACTAACAATTGATTTTATTATACTGGGGGACTTGTTAACTAGTTCTATTCAAAAACCATTTTCAAAAATAAAATTTCAAAAGAAATAAAAATAACATATATCCATGTACATTAAAATAAAAAAAGAACTTCTTTATATTGATAATCTGAATATTAAAAAATAGTCAGTAGAATAATTATTCTTGGTACATATTCACATACTTTGTTTCTTAGCAATATCTGTCTCTAATATTGTGTCACTGGCATTTTTCTGAAGGATGTGTCTGTAAAAATATGGCATTTAAAAATAAAACTGCTAGCAATATTCTTCACAGTTGCATTTTATAATGAATTAATTTGAAATTATTGATATTTTAATTGATTCTTATTGGTAGACCATAATATTTTTAATTGAGAAAGATGCTCTTTCTACAGGTTCTGAGTTACTTGGTAAGCTCAGAGCAAATTTTCTAAATGGAAGAGACACTCAATTCTAATTTTTTTTTTTCCACATTGAAAAGTGTAACTATTCCACCCCAAATATTTTCAAGGTACTGTCTTCTTGCTTCCTTCAGAGTACTTTCCTTCAACAAATATTTTTGAAAGATAAAACTTGTCAAATAAATTGACTCTATGATTCTTTTGAATGTTTTGCCAAAATTAGATGCTGCAAAGTCTAGGCCTTCTCAATTTCATTTCATTCATGTATGTGTATAATTTATTCAAAATAGGAGCACCACCAAAAGATTCTTCCTGCAAGATGAAATATTCAGAAGTACAGAAGTGCAAATTTTAATCTTGAAGTACAGAAGTGCAAATTTTAATCTTGTAGAGCATTTGAGTTCTTACCATTTATGTTGTTCAATTCCTTCTTTCCTTCTGTAGGGAACAATTCAAATGGAAATTTTGTTTTCATTAATTGCAGTTCTATAAAAGCTTCATTGGGTGTTTCAGTTGTTGAACACTTGATTTCAGATTTCCACTTGATTTTGATCACCAAAACTTTGATGAGCCATTTATAACAAAGTTCAATACCATTGTTGGGTATAAAGATTTCTAAAATCTGATTGATGACAGGCAACAAAGAGAGAAGGCACATATCGTGGTGCTGAACTATATATTTTATACTCAACATCAGCTATATCCCCCAAATCTTGTAGTCCAGAGACTCTCACTATAAAGATATTTGTAAATTTTTGTAACAATAGCTTCTATTTCAATTAGTAGAATGTTGATGTTTGTTTCGATGCAATTATGAATTATGGGTGTGCCTCAACCAGTTCCAAGTCCTCCATAGATTTCTCAAGATAGTAAGACGGTCATTTTTATCACAACACTGTATGTGTCTCACCTAAATTTGTACTTGTATTAATATTGTAAACTAACAATTTTATCTTTCATGTTCAACTTTTTTTTTAAAGTCTTTTTTGAATTTATTACAATATTGCTTCTGTTTTACGTTTTGGTTTTTTGGCCGTGAGGCATGTGACATCTTAGCTCCCTGACCAGGGATTGAACCCACACCCCCTTCATTGGAAGGCGAAGTCTTAACCACTGGACCACCAGGGAAGTCCCTCATATTCAACTTTTAAACTGAATTTCCAATCTCACTCAAAATGTCTTTACCTTTGATAGATATACTTCCAAAAGCTTTACCTTGATTCCACGAATGGGTGGAAAAAGGAAACATTTTTAGAATTAACCAAAATGATTTAATTACTTGAAGTACCTGATAACATTCAACTGAAACTGGAATTATTTAACTGTTTGCAAAGTTCTTCCATCATTGGAGACAACAAACATAAAGCTATGGCTTGTATTCAAAAATGAGTGAAATCAATTTAGAAGAATAGTTATTTATCTAAACAAAAGTTAGGCTTTACAGAGTTGTATGTATACTTTCTTCAGCTACATGGCTTAAACCATTTAAGCCTCCCTAAAGTAACTACTAATTTTGGAACTAGATCCGGACACTTTTTCAGCAGATTCGACTCTTCTTGTTTTCATGAGGTCAGTGATACCACTACGATCTCTGTAGTGGACAGTAAACGTCAATAAACATTTTATGCAAGTTACACATTCCTTATTAACTTTTTTCAGAAACAAAAATCCAGCACTTTTTAAACATAAAATATATACTTTTATTTTTTTGAGCTGTTGCCAAAAGGTTTATCGCAAAAACAAAGTACTGCCAGGGACTTCCCTGGTGGTCCAGTGGGGTAAGACTCCGCGCTTCCAGTGCAGGTGGCCCAGGTTCGATCCCTGGTAGGGGAACTAGATCCCACATGCATGCCACAACTAAGGGTCTGCAGGCTGCAACTAAAAAGCCCACATGCCGCAACTAAGATCCGGTACAGCCAAAATAAATAAACAAAAAAACAAATAAATAATAAAAACAAAACAATGTACTGCCAAATAACAAAATAGTACTGGTTTACAACATACAAGCAAGTATGCTCAGTTTATTCCTTTTTTTTTTTTAATTGGAGTATAATTGCTTTACAATGTTGTATTAGTTTCTGCTGTACGATGAAGTGAATTAGCTATATGTATACCTGTATCCCCTCCCTCTTGGACCTCTCTCCCACCCCCACCCCCATCCCACCCATCTAGGTCACCACACTCAGTCTACACAGAACTGATCAGCCTCGATTTCCCACATGTCTATTTCATAGACAATGGACCTCTAACTTACTATATTTCCCACTGAGCTTTTGGACTGGTACCTGGTGGTTTTATGACTCCTGAAGGCCAGACTTGGGCCATACAATTGGGTGATACACCAAATGGCCAGCTGGGGCAGAAGTGTCAAATACTTCTACCACCCGAGACAGAAAGGAGTTAACTGTCTCTAGACATTCAGTGTACTTTGTTATATTAACAATTGCCCTGCATTCTGTCCTTGATTGGGAGGTGTCTGAAAGCACTGGGAAAAGAGAGGCGTTATTGCTGGTTGTCTTTCAGATTTAATAATAACTTAACATGAGAACTCCCCCTACTGTACATGGATCTCACATATTATTGGCTTATGTTAGACAAAGATTGAGGCAGAGGCTGGGAGTAGAAAGCGGAGCTCTATCAAACCCATGCTGGCTTATTCTAATGTAATTATTAGTAACCATCTCTGTTAAAAACAAAAAATCCAGGACAAATGCTAAGTCAGATGGGATTCTGGGACAGCAGACTTACACTGAGACTGTCCTTGGTATCCAGGATGTACATTTACTTGATCTTCAACGGAGGAGATCTGCCCTTCTTTGCCCTTCCTCCTTCTTCCTTCCTATTGACTGGAGTGAAGACATGATGGCAACTATCTTGGTCCACAAAGTGGTAAGATAAGAATGGCAGAGCAGTAAGATAGAAGGAGCCTAGGTTCCTGACTTTAGAATCACCATATCAACCTTGGACTGCCTACTCCCAGATAGTAAAAATATGTAAAAAATGAGAAAAATAAATTCTTACCTTGTTTTGGTCACTGTTATTTTATAGTCATACCATATCTTAACTGATAAATAAGGACTACCTCTACAATCTTTCTAGAAAGCAGCTTGGCAATATATATCAAGAATACTAAAGATGTCTAAACCCTTTGAATCCTTCTAGGAATTTATCTTAAAGAAATAATCTGGAATGAGAAAAAACTGATGTGTAAAGATGTTTACTGCAAATCTATTTATGATAGTAAAAAATCAGAAGCAACCTAAAGGTCCAAAAATAAGGAACTTCTTTTTTTTTTTTTTGCGGTACGCGGGCCTCTCACTGTTGTGGCCTCTCCCGTTGCGGAGCACAGGCTCCAGACGTGCAGGCTCAGCGGCCATGGCTTACGGGCCCAGCTGCTCCGCGGCATGCGGGATCTTCCCAGACCAGGGCACGAACCCGTGTCCCCTGTATCGGCAGGCGGACTCTCAACCACTGCGCCACCAGGGAAGCCCAAGGGACTTCTTAAATAAACAATATTACATCTAAATAATTGAATATTGTGCAACCATTAGAAAATTTATGAAAAAAGTTAATGACATGGGAAAATGCCCACATCATATATGCCATGAGAGAAAATAGGCAGGATTACAAAAAATCTTGCACATGTAAGTTCTCACTTATGTTACCCCCAAATCCACATATATAAAGGTATGAATAAACAAACAAAAAAAGACTGAAAGGAAATACATGAAAATATTAACCAACAGTGATTATTTCTGGATAGTGAGATGATAGGTAATATTTATTTATATCTTCTTTATATTGAATATTTAACACTACCCTATAATTAACAAATAGTTCCATCTGTAATCAGAAAAAAATATAAATTAATTTCAAAACTCTTTCCTAGCATTTACCAGTTTTAAATGGTGTTGACACTGCCATCATTGTCATTATCATCATCACAATTTTACTGAGCATCTATGTGTGGGGAGTTGAGGCAGCAGGGTGTCCAGACCTCTGTGGCTCCTGCAGTCAACCAAAGACCATCCAGATACAAGCAAACCCTGCCCAGTTTTACCTTGGTGTTCTGTAGCAGAGCTAGTCCATTGCAGGCATTTGCTAGAAGAAAGTCTCCACTCAGGATAGCTATTTTATTTCCAAACTGCATGTCTTTCAGTGGCCCATCAGAAGATTGCAATTCATCTAAATTTACTATCCCACGATGTACAAGGAGAGCAGTATGGATAAGTTCTGTGATCTCTGCCAAACTTCTTTGACTAAAACATAAAGGTAGGACTTGTCTGAGTATAAAGAATACCAATTTATCACTAATGTCAGACTTCAGTTTTCAACAACAAAATATTTTATAGATTAGTGTCTCTTTTTTTAGATTATTCCTTTTTCATGAAGTTTTTTTCTATTGAGATATAATTGACATATAACATTATATTAGTTTCAGGTGTACAACATAATGATTTGGTATTTGTACATACAGTTGACCTTTGAACAACATGGGATTGAACTGTGTGAGTCCATTTACATGAGGATATTTTCAATAAATACTTAGGTATTATACAATCCGAGGTTGGTTGAATTTGCAGATGTGGAACCACAGATATGGAGGACCAGCTATGGGCCTTGAGCATCTGTGGATTTTGGTATCTGAAGTGGGTCCTGGAACCAATCCCCTGTGGATATCAAGGGAGGGCTGTATTGCAAAATGAACACCACAGTAAGCCTAGTTAACATCTGCCACCACATATAGTCACAAATTTTTTTTTCTTGTGATGAGAAGATCTACTATCTTAGCAACTTACAAATACACAATACAGTATTATTAACCACAGTCACCATTTATGCATTATATCCCCAGTACATTATATCTTCATGACTTTTCTTTTTAAAATAACTAGAAATTCGTGCCTTTTGACCACCTTCACCCATTTTGTCTCCCTTCCCACCCCCCCCCCCCCACCCCCGACCCCAACCTCTGACAGCCATTAATCTGTTCTCTGTATGTATGAGTTCAGTTTTTGGTTTTGTTTTGTTTTTTTTATATCCCACATATAAGTGAAACCATACAGTATTTGTCTTTCTCTGACTTATTTCACTTAGCATTTTGAAGTTTCGTGGGGTTTGTTTTTGAAGGTTTCAAATGCACTTTTTTTCAATCATGCCATATTTTAATGGGCACATGGTACTTTTACTTGGCATCAATTATGAGTTGGTTTTGAAGCAATTCAGTATTATACCAGCTGGATGACTGATGATCACTGATCTCTCCATTCTTTTGGGGTGACTCTGCTAGCAGGGGACAGGTTCCATGGTATTCCAATTTGTGTTGCTGCATATACCCATATAGCAACACAAAGTGGCCCCACTAGTATTACCAGTTTGTCATGGAAATCAGGTGTACGTTTCTGGTGTCTCTGCCTTGCCATTGTTAGCTGAATGCTTCAAACTCAGGGAAACATCATGAAGCTGAAGACAGAAACTGTGGCAAATGCAGCTGAGGGTTTGGTGTAACTTCATATCAAGCACCCTCGCAAAGACACTTGAATGAAGTTTTTATTAGAGGCCTTTCCACCAAGTAGTTTGGGATCCATAAGCAGATCCTGACACCTTTCTTCTCTCTACCATTCCCCATTCTCTATCCCACGAGTCACCAGGATTCCCCAGAGAGAAGCTGACCAGTAAGGGCCACCCTCTACAGTTCCATTTAGATAATCTGTTCTCAGTATAACTTTAAGATTTATGAGAATTCTTACTGGTATCTAATAAAACTCCAATTTGAGTGGGAATATAACTTGTGCCAGACATTAGGCTAAGCACTTTTATGCATTATTACTTTTAATCCTAAATGCAAAGCCGTGGGATTTACAGAGATGAATAGAATGTGGTCTCTTCCTTCAAGGACCTTATCTTTCAGAACAAGAACCAAGATATATATCTACAGCAGTAATTAAAATAGAGAAGGCCCTTGAGGAGCTTATAGTATAGTACTGTATCAGACAGGATTTCAAGAGATGTTTGTTTTCTTTTTTATACTTTTCTATAGTTTGTACATTTCTATAACAAAAGTATTACTTTTATAATCATAAAAAATCAACAATTACTATAAAATTTAAACCTCAAAACCACCCTATGATAGGTATTACTAACCTCTTTTTATAGGTGAGAAAATTGATGTACACAGTTTAATGACTTGCCCAAAGGCACACAGTAATACAGAGCTAGAAATCCACTGAAATCTGTTACAAATGGCCCCATGTGAATCATGCCTCTTCGCTTCCACGCTCCTGTGTAGTTCCCTCCACCCTAACTTTGGGCTTCACCATGTGACTTACTTTGGCCAAAAAGACATTAGCACACATGACATAAGTAAAGCCTTCTAAGTGTTTATGCATTAAGGCTTGTCCAGTGCAGTCACACGAGTGACCCCAGAATGTAAGAAATAAAATGGCTGTTTCAAGTCACTAAATCTTAGGATAGTTTGCTATGAAGCAATAGCTATCTGATACAGAAACCGGTATATCTAGGAGTGGGTGCTGTTGCAACAAAAGCCTAAAATATGTGTCAATGGCTTTGAGTCTGAATGTTTGGGGCTAGAGGTAAATGCTGAAGAAATGGCAAAGTCTTAGTAGAATCTGGAAAGGCAGTGAGGAAACTGTTATTGGGGGATTGAGCAAAAACATATGGTGTTATAAGGCAGGGAAACAACTCGCAAAACTTTCGTCTGTGGTAACTTGAAAGATAGAAAATATACCTAAATATTAAAAAGTAGGTAGTGAAAGTGGAGAGATCAGTGGAGGAAGCTGTAACAAAGGCCCAAGTAACAAAAGGATTTGACCTAAAAGTGAAATTTAAGCATTTGACCTAGAATAACAGCCTTAGACAAGGAGACAAATAAACATAAAACAATCAAATAATAAATATAAGAGACTCTTCTCTCAAAAAAATGTAGTACTTGTTTAACAACTACAGTACAGTAATTACATAAAGATGCAATAAAATAAAGGAGCCAAAATACTTGGCATATACAAAAGAAAAATTACATTTCTGATTTATTCCCCTTGCTTCAAAAAACAAACAAAAACAAAAAAAGTAAAAATATGTAAAAATGACCCCGTGTACATACTGTATCTGACTACAAATTGGGGGTGTAGGAGAAGATGAACCAGTGAGTTAAACAGCTTCTCAAAAGAGTAAATTCATGGTTTAGATTAAAACCTCACTACATCCCAAAGAAAATCACCAAGGATGGAGCCTTATAAGACTATTGAGAAGTTAACAGAAAACATTTTTAAAAAGGGAGCTAAAACTTAAAACTATCCTTTAAAAGAGTGACTAAAAGAAAGGAATAAAAATATATTTTATTAGTACCCTGCAAATGTATTCTAGCTTACGAAAAAGTTCGCAGCTACATTTCACAAAAATTGCACAATGAGATTATGAGCAAGTATAAAACTCAAGAAGGGTTAAGCACTGGATAAATCTCTCATGTAGTTCAGCTTATGAAAGAAAGTAATAACCAGGGAAGCAGAAGTTGTAGGTGTTTTGAATTACCCTAAGGATGAAAATGAATGATTGGGAGCTTTTAATAAAGACATCTATAATCATAAAACTGCATTCATTAAACAAATGGCAATCTTTAAATGCCACATGGCCAGAAACAACAAAAACAGTGGTAATAATAAAAGTGAAAAACCATAAATGTACAGTACCCACCATTCGCAAAGAACTTTCACTTATATTATCTACTTGTGATTCTAATTACAGCAGGTCTGGGAGGTTAAAGACCTGGTCGGAACATTCAGTTTATAAAGGACAAAGCTGGAACTCAGAGCCACCTTGTCATAGTGACCAATGATAATTTAAAATGTTTATTTACCTAATGAATAGCAAATGGTGGTAGGGGGCCAAAGTCACCAATGTTACCAAGATTGGTATAGGCCCACCACAAACTTGTCCAATTTTCATCCTTAGTTCTAAGCACTACAGAAGAGAATATTTCTAGGAGAAAGTATATTATGACTAGACTTGACTCTTTTTGTTCATAGTAGCTAGGGAAAGTAATCAAGTTGTTTCCAAATCATTTGGTTAGAATCAAATCAAGTGATTTAACTCAGTCAGGAATCTGGATAACAGTTCTACCTCTACCTATAACAGACAGGTCATGGGCAAATCCCTTAAACTCTCAGGCCCTTGGCCTTCTGAACACTGAAAGGAGGGGAACTGGAGAAACAGTCTCTTCCAGTTCTAAGGTTCAGGGATTTCAGTCCTAAAATTTAAGATTCAGCTCTAAAATTCTAAGATTCGGGGATTAAAAAAACATTACTTAGACTGGTAGTTAATAGTTAAAAAGAGACAAAATTATTGCTATTATTGGTACCTACTTTTCTACCAGAAATAGAAATGAACTGATCGGTCATCTTGAAATCTGTCCTGCAATTCCACTATCTAGTATGATGCTCTCAACTTCTAAGATTTTACCATTAGATAAACAACTTCAGCCCACATTACACAAGAGTTAATTTAGCATACAGCAGAGAAGCAGTGACAATATGAAAGAATCTGGGAATTTTTCCTTTTCATTATCTTATTCCTATTTTAGCCACCCAAAGCAATCTAGTAAACTTTCAATGTACTGGATTTTTAAAATTATCTTATATAAAAGTCTTCATAGGATCTTATGTATATATATTTTAGTACTTGGGTATTTTTCATGCTAAATCTTGATTGGAAAAGAGTCACAAATGAATACTGCTTATGTTAAGTAATCAGAGTAAGGAAGTAATTACTACATTGAATGTAACCCCGAGGATTAATCAATGTTTTTACACGAATTTTCACCAAATTACTTTCTTTCAGTTATATGTTAAACAACTTAACCTGCTTTGATCCATATTCTTCCAACCATTCTCCAATTTTTTTAGCATCCTAAGCTTTAGAAATAAGATGGCAGACATTGCTAGTTACCTCTTCACTCTCTCCTTCCTCACTACTAACATACTGGTAGTTATAGCTGGAGAGACAATGTACTCATTTAAAAATACCTCCTCAAGATCCCTCGAGGCTAGAGGGGATTGTGTAGCACAGTCTGGCCAATGAATGTAAGCAGAGGTCCACTAGGTGGAGTTTCTGATAAATCTACTGAGTTTCTGATATAAGGGAACAGATTCAGATGGCATGCCTTTGGCATTTTGAGCTTACCCCTTCCTCCTGTTTGGTTATGGCCCAGCTGCCTGGGGGCACAATAGAAACTTTAAGGATCCTA